ACGCAGGGCAGTTACCATGAAGGCTGGAAGGAATTCTTAGTGTCTAGGTTTCAAATTGATAGTGGGCGAACGTGGGAGCAGTTGAAGTTGTAAAAAAGCGCCAAAAGGACACGTTGTGAAGCCATAACCGTCATTTAGTGGTTACTTTCTAGCAATATAAATATGTGTTATTTTTATGGAATAAAGGTGTTCATTCATCTTGTACTAGTCACTCCAAACCACTCAAAGTACCCGTGTGTAGAGAAACGAGTTAGCGAGAATGTACGTGATACAACACCAACCCCTTTTCATTAATGCAATTTACTTGTCTTTACCATTTATGCGCTTTTACTCATTCTGCACTTTAATCTTCAACTTTTACGTTTAAATTGCCATTTTCAAGCCTTTCTGCAAACTTACTTTCATTTACTTTTCTCGCAAATTTAAACATTTCGCACTTTCTTTCAAGCTTTTAATTTCAAAGTCTTTTAACTGCTTTCGACCTTTACTTTCCTGCACCTTCACCTTCAAAGTCATTTATCTTTATCTTTAAAGTCATTTACTTTACGAAGATTTCATAGTCGGACGCGGAGTTCAGATTAGAATCTTTTGCACATTTACATTATTGCAGTTATTTTCAAAGTCATTTACTTTCAAAGTCATTTACATTAATGCGATTAACTTTGACATTTACTTCCAAAGCTTTTACGTTATTGCCTTTAATCTTCAAGTTACTCTTACTTTACAAAAATTTCATACTCGAACGCAGAGTTCAGATTAGGGTCTTTTTGCATACTTAGCACATGTCCTAGGATTTAGTATGGTCGATCCTGCAAGTTATTCAATTTTTCTCTAAATTGATAAATCAGCGGTTGTTTACCAAAATTCAAAGTAAATAAATTAGCACACCTGGTGGGACTCAGTGCTAAGCATTTCAAAGTTTATATTAATCTTTTGGGTGAATACTTCGTTGTATGTTATTGAGGAGTGGAAAGTTAGACACAACACACGAAGAAGTACCAAAAAGAAGATACACTAAAAGAATGGCAACAAATGCTAGTCAACAAGTTGATCCTCAAGGAAGCATTTCAAATACTCAGTCAAGCAGCATGGGGTCTCAGAATACTCCATATCCAGTTTCTTCGACGGGAGGACAGATGCCACCACCAATAGCTGTGTCTGAACAAATGCAGCCCATGTCCAGTCCAGGATCAACATGTGTACGAACGTACACTCAACCTATCTTGAAATATATAGGACCACAAAGTCCTAATTCACCAACACCTCCAGGAAATTCAATATACAAGCATTTTCCTCCTCCAGGTTTTTCACAACCATTATCAAGGAACCCATCTTATGGTATGCCTACGTCGATGATGCAGAATATGCAGAATGCTCCACCCATATTTCAGAGAATGTGGTATCTTCGTCAGTGCAAGGATCTGGATCAGGTGGTTAAAATCAAAACATGCCTCAAGAACAAACACATACACCAAAGTCAATTCAAGATAGGAGGCACTCATACAAAGACATACAAAATAAAACACCAATCCATCATGATTAGAAACAAACTCAAATGGTATGTATTATGTTCAAATTGCAATCCACAATCAAGGTCAAGAAGAGGCAAACACAAATTGAAGCACCAAATTCAAGCAAACACAAGTTCAAATTGTTCATGTGAGAAGTATAAGATCATGTAAGGCAAATGAAGCAAAATGAGCATACAATGGACCTCTAATCGTGAAAATCAGAACCTAAGACATGTTTAGGGAAGCCAAGAAAGATCATCAAACACTCATTGAATCATTCAAGAATCAAGTTCAAAAGATCATAGCAAGACTTGCACACAAACTCTTAGTTAAAACAAACACATTTTGATGCTTCATCCAAAAATAGCAACTAAAATTCAAATAAATGTTCAAACTCATGTCATGTGTGTTATGAATCATATGACAAAGCATCACAACAAAATTTGCAAGAAAACATCATCAAATGAATAAAACAAGGGCAAGCACTCAACTAATCGAGCAAAAATCGAGGGTCAAACAAAGTCAAATTGGAATCAAACAAAAAATGATCAACAAATCACCAAACCAGCATCCAAACATAACTTATTTATGTGTCAAAAAGTGGTGAAAATCATGGCTAAAGAAGGCCTCTACAAGGGCTTATCCGCGAATTTCACCTTGTTTTTCAATGCTTGATTGATTTTAATAAATCAATCCTTCTTTCTCGTCATGTGTGTTAAACTCTCGGAGTCAAGGTACCATTAATCGTTGCATTCTGCATCTTCTCGTGTAGTCTCCATCATGTTTTCAAGCAATTGTACCCGATTTTAGCTGCATTTTCTTGCACTATTTTCTTCTTCCGCAATCACCACTAATAATGTGATCTCATCATCTTCTTGCCTTGCAATCTTTTCTTTAGCTTCTTGTGGATCATTCTTGTTGGCATGACATTCATGAGCAAAATGTCCAAGCTTTTGAAAATTGTAGCATTGACGTTGCTCTTGCTATTTTTCCATCTTCCTCTATTGTTGCCACATTTGTAATTGCTTGATCCACCACCTTTGTTACAGTTTCTTCACCCATTTGGAACGTTAATTTGTTGGAATTTTGGGAGTCCCTTCCACCATTGTTATGGTAGTTTCCTCTACCTTTACTCATAGACCATTTTCCCTTCACCTTCTTGTCTTTTCCAACGAAACGAACATGCAAAGCAATTTTAGCCTTTGATTTGTCAACATTCCTCTCCTCCATTCTCCACTCATAAGCCTCAAAAGAACTTTGCAACTCTTCTTTGTTCATGGTTGAAAGATCCTTGGACTCTTCAATAGCAACCGCTTCGTTATCGAATCTTGACGTCAACGATCTCAAGATTTTACCAACCACATACTGCTCAGTGATTGTCTCTCCACACACTTTCACTTTATTCACCAATATTGTGATTCTTGTAGTAGATTCACTAATGGTTTCCTTCACCTTCATTTGAATTAATTTCAACTACCTTTTGTGAGTTTGTAACCTTGCCACTTTTGTCTTATCATCTTATGCATAGTTTTTCTTTAAGATTTCTCAAGCTTCGTTTGAGGATGTGCAATCACCAACTTTCTCAAAGTTATCAACATCAACACATTGATAAGTAAGATATAAAGCTTTGAAATTTGTTGTTTTCTCTTTTTTATGCACAGTCTTTTGTACAACTATTGCACCTTCTACAAGTGGATTAACATCATTCTTGATTACTTCAAGAACGTCTTTGTGCACAGTCTTTTGTACAACTATTGCACCTTTTACAAGTGGATTAACATCATTCTTGATTACTTCAAGAACGTCTTGATAACCAAACAACATCTCCATCTGTTTGACTTGTCATAATTCTTCGCATCAAGAATTGAGAGGTTTTCTGGATACGTTGGAAAACATTTTTGCACACTAAGTGTTCAATCAAAAAATCAGACTCTTGATGACAAATGTTGGGGGGAAACTCAATCACAAGATAATGATGAATAATGGAGAGATTGAGATAATGAGAAAATTAAAAAGAATTGGGGTGAAAATGTGGTGATATTTCATTAATGACCTAACATGGATATTTAAACATTAATACAAAATAATGTAGCTAACCAACTAATGAGAAAAACAAACTTTGCAACCATGTAACCGTCAACTGATTACGCCAAATTTATAATCGGTTACAAGAGACTATTGACTTCTAAAAACACAAAATTGAAGGGTGGTAACAGATTGCACTTTATTTATAATCGATTACAAGAAGATTTATAATCGATTACAGGAGACTACTGACTTCTGAAAACACAAAATTGAAAGGTGGTAACCGATTACACTTAACTTATAATTGATTACAAGAAGATTTATAATCGGTTATAGGAGACTACTAACTTCTAAAAACACAAAATTGAAGGGTGGTAACCAATTGCACAACTTATAATCAATTACAAGAAGCTTTTGTAAGATATTGTACTCTTCTGAAGGATGGTAACCGGTTACACCAAAATTGTAACCGATTACACCAACTTAAATTAGTCCATTTTCTCAACAATTCACACATTTAAAAGATCCACATCGTACTTTACTAATTTGAGTGTTAACTTTAGAAATACACCCCATTTGTGATCACAGAGATATCCACTGTATTGAAAAATCTTTCACAATGGCCAGCCATCTTAACCCTGCGACTATTTTCTATTTTCTTCTATTTTCTGTTCCACTCTTATACAATGAAAATGGCAGAGTGAATTTTTCAAATTTTAGTTGTTTTTTCCTGTCAAATATGCTTCTTTTTTTACTCATTTATGACACCTCCGTGGTATAGATGGATAAAACAAAAAGTTATTTAATTATTTGAGTATTCAAGGGAATAAAATAAAATCCTCATTCTATTATTTCACTCTTACCACCTAAACCAATATCTTTTAACATAAATTGTATGACAAACTGAAATTAAGCCTGAAATTTTGCATGTCACTCTGATGGAAATAGAGTCCTTACAACATAAATTGGCATTATCCCTTTATTTTTCTAACATCAAAATGAACATCATTATTTGAAACAGACAGTTCTATTTGAAACAGACACAGAAAAACAAACAGACAGACACAAATTCGCAATTTCTGCACATTTACCGGAGACAATCCTATTCGAAACAAACACAAAGGAACAACACTAAAACAAAACATCTCTTCAAAGGATTTATATTTATTTTACAAGAATCCGATCAAGTACACTACCTATGAAAATTGAAAACATGATATAAATACCCAAAGTCAATGAATGCAGTATCGATTGTTTCACTCATAAAGAAGAAGAATTTTACAAGCCAAATATGTAAAAAAAGAAAGAAAGAAAGCCCTGTGTACATACATGCTAACAAAATCTCAATCTAGTGAACACTTGACTCCTTTTTTTGCTGAAAATTTCATAAAAATCTGCAAACAAAAGACCTTAGGCCCTTAAAAAACCGAATACACTGTTGTTACATTGGCAAGCAACAAACTACTAACAGTAACAAGAATATGCAAAGTGATTTTTCTTTGAGATATAAGGGGACAAGAAACTCGAGGCTGAGGCCGATGAATCTGAAATTTCGGACGGAACTAATATTTGTGTTTTACCAGAACCAATTCTCTTACCAGCTACGTTTGCGTACAATAGACCTGAAATTGCTGGTACGAAAACATCACTTTCGGTACTAATATAAAAGTCAATCACATTCTCCAATTCAGAATCTCCAGAATCTAGAAACTTCGCTTTCTTATCTGCCGGCATGATGGATTCCTGCAACAATTTAAAGACGAAATGAGATATATTTCGCTTTTAGTGTATCTCGATCCATCGAGCATTTGAATTGTTAATTGCGTGAATATGTAGGATTGTGAGTGCAGTGCGTGCGAGAAATAAAAACAAATATCTCACCTTTGTATAAGTTTTAGGGAAAAACTCCTTAAGAGAATCAAGGCTATCATCCCATCTTGATTGCGTCACATAAATTGTGGTATCCTTATCAATTCCAATCTTCCTCAAAAACGTTGCAATCTCTTGTGCATTGAAGCAGCTCTTCTCACCATCACTATCATCATTTCCTTGGCAACCCTTCTTGTTCAACATCTCAACTCTCAAATCAACAGCTATAAATTGACCATCTGATTTTCGGCTTAAAGTTCGGAGTCTTTCAACCATTGAGTCAACAAGGTCGTGCATTTCCGGCTGTAACTCCAAACTTCCATACATTGCTAAGCATGCAATGGAATCGGTGTCACCTTTTTTCCCTGACTTTCGCATGTTTATTGAAGGAAAGTAAGTTGCTAGCCTTACGTTTCCCTTTGATCTATATATTGGTTCCACGTGTCTAGCTATGTAATCTTCGGTAACCCGATTGGGGACCTTCACTGCAGCAATTTTATTTGTTGTTACTTGAGCAGGAAGTTCCTTTGTCACTTTAACCACTCCTTCCATGCTTTTTGTGAACACATCAATATCGTAAATGTCCTCGAAATTCCTGAGATATCAATTACATTAGTAGCGATAAATTTTGATACACTATTAACGTAAATTTTTTTACAATGTGAACCAATCACGAATCTCTTATAGTCAGAAGAACTAACCTCTTGTCACCAGGTTGGCTTCCTCTGATATCAGGGACGACAAGTGTTGCCCCAAGATTTCTAGCCACAATCACCGCATCTGCTATCTGGACAAACATATTGGTTACAAACAAAGATCTCGGGAAAAGGAAAATGAAGGAAAATATGCTAACATAGAATGGAAATAAATAACTTCAAATTTTACATTACTACACTCTATGAAGGAGCACACCACACACACATATAATATCAAAGCTGCAAAAATTATCAATCTTATCGTAACTATCACAAATAAGCACGTCACAACAGTTGAATCGTTTACCTGAGATATATGATACTCGGGGCCATTGGTTAATGAAAAAATAACAAATCCCTCCGTCTGCTCCACTTCATCTGCAAGCCATTGCTAAACTATGACTAAACAATGACAGAAAATTGAATCCACGTGTCTGTGTCTGTGTCGAGTACACGACTTAGGTATCTTGAGTATTTGCAAAAATTAAAATTGAAATTTACCTCCAGATGGCTTAACCCAACACGGTTTTAACTCATCGGTATCTCCCTTCCAAAGTCCTATATTCTTTCTCACATGTGTAGCATCCATCTTTACAGTTTCATAGGTTGCATCCTCTGTTGATCCTGGAAATGTTTTATCCTTGTAAAGCAAAAACAAGTGAAGTTAATAAATTGAAGCTTACATTAAAAAGAGGACTAATAAAATCAAATTTGCATCAGAAAAACACTTTTGGGACACAGAAACAACAATTGACTGCTAAACACATAAAACATTAGACTTTGTCACCAAATCAGACATAGAAGCGTTATTACTAGTTGCTTAATAGTTAATTCATCTCTTCACACAAATCAATCAATAATATCACAACACCTATAGAGTGTAGAAAGCATAGCTAATCACTATTGAAATCACAATTTTGATAAAATTCAACATCCACCACAAACAATCAATGTCTCCTAGCTTATAAACTAAGGATCTAGCATCCCTACAAACTTGAAGATGCATACACAAAAAAATGGGTTTTTTTTTGTTTGACCCTTGAAAATTGAAATAATTTTATTTTCTACAGAAATTCAGATCCTTTAAATGAACAAATAGAGAGTGAACTTTGTTCATAACAAAAAAAAAAAGTCCCTTTGAGAGATTCACATACGGAACATGAAAATTATTGATAAAAACATAGAAAAAAAAGGTAAAAATGAAAACTAAAGATTAGAATGAGAAAAGGGTCTTACTTGAACAGAATCAAAATGATCCCTTTTAATCATATGAATAAGCATGACAAACATTGTGAGTGTGAGGATACCAGCAACTACTTGTCTCAAATCAAAAGCCATATCTTGGAACTGAGAGAAGAAAAAAAGAAAAAGGAAGAGATTTGAAAGGAAAGATGAGAGACAAAGCAATGTATTATAGTGAGACAGTTGAGGAGCACCGACACTTTCACTGACAATGATGCGCTTCCTAATATCCTACCTGGACTTTTTTTTCAACTCGACTTTTTACTACAATAAAATATTGAGTTAATTCCGAATTTTAATCTTTCATCATTTTCGTATTGAAAATTGATTTTTTTTTTTAATTTATAAATATCCAAAACTTAATGTCAAACATTCATGACTTCTTGACTTTATTAGCAGAGATTTTGGGTTACTTATGTTAGTCTTATTTTTAAAAATATCATTTGATAATCCTTATGAAAAAAGATTTATTTTAAACTCATTTTTATAAATTGAAATACAAATTTTGATATTTAATGACATAATTAGATATTATTAAAAATTTAAATATAATAAAAATTACATAATTTTTTTATAAAAAAATATGTTCAAAAATATTTTTTATAAAAACTTATTTAAAATAGCTCTAAACTAAAGTGTTCTTTAGTTGGATAATTTTAAAAAGTTATAAAAAATTAGAAATATCTAAAATTATATTTTATGGAATATATATATATATATATATATATATATATATATATATATATATATATATATATATATATATATATATATATATATATATATATATATATATATATATATATATATATATATATATATATATATATATATATATATATATATATATATATATATATATATATATATATATATATATATATATATATATATATATATATATATATATATATATATATATATATTATAAATAAAAAAAATACGCAATGCTAAATGCATATTGAAGTTGACAGGGTTGTCTTTAAATATTTGGAGGCTCTTGATCTAATTTTAAAAATAGACCTTGATAAAAACGAAGCTAATTTTTTTTAAAATATAATTTATTTAATAGTAAAAATGTATCATTAATCTTTGAGTAAAAACAAAATTTATTTATCATTATATTAACTAATATATATTATAAATTAAATTTAATAACTAATATTTATATATTTAATTTAAATTTATAATTTATAAAAAATAATTTTAAAATCCTTTTTTCTTTTGAGACCTTGAATGGTAGGTCTCCTTATCCATTTTCAAGACCGGTCATGAATGTTAAAATAACAAGATTGTTTAATGTATTTATGTTTTAAGAAGTTAAATTACTTTTTTTAATCTTATAAAAGTCAGTGATAATATTTATTATTAAATAATTGTCTAAACAATATTATATATATATATATATATATATATATATATATATATATATATATATATATATATATATATATATATATATATATATATATATATATATATATATATATATATATATATATATATATATATATATATATATATATATATATATATATATATATATATATATATATATATATATATATATATATATATATATATATATATATATATATATATATATATAAAGAAAAAACAACAATACTTAAGTAAAAGAGAATCTTTAAAGATGTTTGGTTTTTTTTATATAAATTATAAATTCCTTTGATATTAAGTTATGTCACTCATGGATATTAATTGAATTTTATAATAAATATTAAATGGTATAAAAATATTTAAATAATAAATATACTTTAAATTTGTAAGTTGTTTATTTTTAGAATTAAAATTATTTATAAAAAAATATCTTATATTAAAAAATAAAGAGAATATTTTTTTATTAGTTTAATTCCATTCTATTCACCAACTTCATTTATCAACCATTAAGAAGAAATAAACGAAAGCGATAAATGATGAATGTACCACTCTAATTGTTAAATGAATCTTACTAATGATTCATATCATCTCTCGATGAATTACTTGTTGTGTTTTTATAAATAAATAAAACTAAATTTAACATTCTTCTAATAAAAATTAAATTTATATATCATAGTTTACCATTCATATACATAAATAATTTATAAATATATAATTTTTAAAAAATATATATATAAATTGAACATATTTTGCACGAGATTATTTTCTTAAATAAAAAAGATCACAATAAACAAAAAAAATCTACTTTAAATTATTTAATATTACTGTATTTTTATGACTGGGTTCCAACTCAAAAATAATTTTTTATTGACATAGTTCATCCATAAAATTGATTTTTATCAAGATTATAAAGTCTTGTTAAGAGTTATTTTAAGGGTTTTCCTAATAGTTTTTTTTTTTCTTTTCAAAAGTCTGCTACTTTCTATTACCATAGTGTTAAATGCTTTAGGTTAATTAAAAAAATAAATCAGAGATGGTACTAAAATTTTTTTTTTTTTACTATTTCCTCACTTTAAAATAATTGTTATTATGATTTTTTTTTAGTGATTTTGTCATTTATAAAAAAAAGTATATTAAAATGTGGATTAACATTCTATCCAAAAAAAACTGATTGATAAAACTTTTTTTACGTCCGATTTTTTTATTAGTAACTTTTATATAAAATTAGTAACATACTTGTTCTCCTACACGGATAAATTTATTTAATACGGTATATCAAAAATTAAATGCATATGTAAATTTAAAATGTGTCATTTAATTATAAATTAGAATAAATAATAATTATATAAATTAAATTGTATTAAATAATAATACAAGAAGAAGAAAAAAAAGATTTGTGAGATGAAGAAGAAAAAAAAGAAAAAAAATTGACATTTGAGAATATTGATTTGATCTCTCAAATAAAAATAATCGTTGACTAAAATAAAAGATGTATTTTGCTGATAATGATTCGTGAAATTAAAAATTTTATACGATTATAAAACAACATAAATGAGATTATTAAAAAAGACATTGTAATAAAACTTGAAGTGAAAAAATAATTATATATGACACGATAAAAATGAAGTTATATAAAGTCCAGAAGTCCATATTCATCTTATTTTATTAATAAGACAATTCAACTGAATTAGTCTATTAATTTTCAGCATGACCACTCCACATGTTTTAGGCACTTCTGAAAAAATTCATGTTTGTTTAAAAGATTGATTGACATGAAACAAATATTAAATACAATTCAATATACCAGAATGATATGAATATGTAAATTAGTTTAATGTCAAATGTAACACCCTTTTCTATCCCACGAATATTATGGAGAAATAATAGAAGTTATTAGAGTAAAATTTTAAACACCGTAAAAATCACCTTGAAGGGCATACGTTTCTCAATAAATTCAAATCAAGGTCAATAAATTCAAATCAAGGTCAATGTTTTTTTTTTCAAAATTACTCAAAAGTGCTCAAATGACAGCGAAACTCAAAAAGGTAAAAATCCAAAGTTTTTCTTTTACCACAAGGTAATCAACATAACAAAAACTCAATAAAATAGTTTGACTCAAAGACCCCAACTTGATGTTACACTATCAAAGCAAGACCCTTTAAGTCAACCACAATGGCCAACGACCCAAAAACCTCAAAAGTCCTTGACGCCATCCACGGCTAAATCTGGTCATCTGCACGTTACCCGCATGGAGGCAACATTTAGACAGGGTGAGTAAAACGATTCATAATAATCAATATATAAAATGACATCATTTTCATATTCAACATCATCATAATCATCAAGGAACATCAAAGGCCACAATATTATAAATTAAACCAATTGTCATATAAATACAAATGCGACAAGACTCATGTATGTGTACCAATCATCACAGCTCGATGGAAACTGGGTCATCAACCCTCCATAGATCCTCATCAATAGGATTGATTCTATACAAGAACCGAAGCACATCAAAATACCTCACGTCCACACAATGGGACTGAAGCCAAAGAAATCAAGGTCCTGAACCATAGTCCGAATGCACATGAATGCATGATGCACACTTCAATATCATCCTCATAATAATCTCATTAGGTGCATCATCATTCATCAAAATAATCATAAGAATCACATCATCATAGAATCATCAAAACCTCATGGAATCAACGTCACAATTCATCACAATTCCTCATGGGGATTCATCATACAATAATGTATTAATATCATAAGAATCACAATTATACTCATGGATACTCATCATACAACCATGTATTAATCACATAGGAATCACAATTATACTAATAGTAATTCGTCATACATTCATTTAATCACATAAGAATTACAGTTATACTCATAGTAATTCATCATACATTCATTTAATCACATAAGAATCACATTTATACTCAAGTAATTCATCGTACATTCATTTAATCACATAGGAATCACAGTCATACTCTTGGTACCACAGCATCAAAACATCAAAATAGCACTGCACAAGAACATAACGGATCAAAATTCGACTGAAAACGTGAACAGTCGTGACGGACAGCATGCAGAATTCACTTCCGGACCTCCGATTTCGATTCCTTAAAAACTTAAACTCTCATAAAATTACAACTCATTCAACACTATAACTATCTCAAGTAAATTTACAATTTTAACACAATTAAACCATCCTAGTCATTATTTTAATATTATGCCTAAAACCTTTAAAATTAAGGGATATAGGTTCAATCCCGTATCACATTTACGCCTCTAATTCCCATAATTTCTTACAAATACCCCACAGTTATTAGAGTTATCACACATCACACTTATCCTACAAGGTTAAACAATCTCAATAATATATTTTGGTCACGAAGGTCTAATTTCTTTTATCTCAAATCAGCTTCAAACCCTTAAATCAGCTTTAAATACATTGAATTACATATTGAAAATAACGAATGCAATATTCTTCATGCCTTAATTTCTGACTCTAAGTCTTTCTCCGCCTCAATCCTCTTCCTCAGAGCTCTGACCTCTATTTCTTCCCTTTTACGGTCTAACAAGAATGAATCCTTATTCTCTCAAAATTCTTTTTTGTTAAACCTAACTTTAGGCCTAAAAATTGGGCTTTCCAACTCCACTCTCACTAACTCCTCCTCAAATGTCCATTT